GACTTTCTGAAATTGTTTATTATCTCACCCCTTAATTTATTGATTTTGTATTTACATTGTGTCATGGTTCAAATTTAATCGTTCACTTGTTTGTGTTCATATGTCTTTTGATTGAGTTAAGCCATTTCAATTGATATTTTATAGCGTGTCTTTCTATGTTGTGATGTTACACTATTGTTTCAGGTAAGGGTGAAGGTTGGTATCTATTAAAATGTTTAACCCGCTGCATTTGTTTGCACCTGTCCTAAGTCAGTAACCTGATGTTCAGTGGTTGTCGTTTGTTGATGTGGTTCATAAATGTTTTTCGTTTCTCTTTTTTTATATAGATTAGACCGTTGGTTTTCCGGTTTGAATGGTTTAACACTAGTCATTTTTGGGGCCCTTTATAGCTTGCTTTTCGGTGTGAGCCAAGGCTCCGTGTTGAAGATCGTACTTTAACCTATAATGGATAACTTTTACAAATTGTGTCTTAGATGGAGAGTTGTATCATTGGCACTCATACCACATCTTCTTATATCTATTTAGGCATACAAAAACCACATATTTCGAAATCATCCTTTTTCAATTTTTGTCATCTGCGCACATACACACAAGTTGTCTAGTCTCGTAGGACCCTCTGAAAGATTTGCCTCGCCCGTACGTACAAATCACTACTATGCAGCACGTCATTAATATCTTCTGTCACACGTAATTCATTCCTGAGTGTGCTAAAATGTTGTCATCTTCATTGGTGTCATCTTCTTGTGTTTGTGGTGGTATATTTTCATTTGCAGCACTTGTGTTAAGTTCTGATAGACAATCGCACAAAGCGATGCATTCAGAGTTCATGTTGTTTAAGATTCCTGTTACAAATAGGACATTAGGACTTTTATAGTTTCCGTAGATAAACCGTGGTTGCTATTTTGAAATCTGGTTTGCTAAAGAGGATGGTTTAATCTTTGGAGGAAGACAAAATGTAATATCTTCATATCCTCCTCGTCTGTGATATCCAGGACACCACGATTTCCAAAAAATGCGAACAGATCATAGTATTCGTTAACATCATTATTCCATACTTCCACCTAACTACGTTTAAACACGCTAAAACAATATTTTAAAGCGTTAAACGATGTTTTAACGCGTTAAACAATGTTTTAACACGTTAAACGAAATTTTAACGCGTTAAACAATGTTTTATCGAGCTAAATGATGTTTTAACGTGTTAAAGTAATGTAACGTAGTTATGTAATTGTGTTGAATTTAACGCGTTAAATGTACTTCATTATGACACATGTGGCAAGTGCGACGGGTAGTTTATCGCGATAAACGTCTTTTTTCACTTCTGGGTTAAATCTCAAACTTAATCAATGCAAAGTTTAACGCGTTAAATATATTGATTTTTCTTAACAGTTAAAATCTTGTTTTAACGCGTTAAAACTGTATTTATCACGTTAAATGTGATTTTATTTAAATGTTAACGCGTTACTTTATCGGGTTTTTGACATGAACGGCCTTTCATAGTCTCACATATCAAAAATCAGTTCAAACTGGAGGCATTTAGAAAAAAAGTCTGTATAACTTTGATTTTCAACAATTTTCAAAGTGTTTAACCCTTAATTTCGGCAAAAATCAGCGGAGCCGAACTAAACTTAAACTTGATCTGTAACTCATCATGGTTAACTCACATACCAAAAATCAGCCCAATATCAGAAGGCGTTTAGAAAAAAGTCTGTATAATGGTTTGTTGCAGAATGACGGAATGATGGAATGATTGAATGACAGAATGACGGAATGACGGAATGACAGAATGACGGAATGACGGACAAGGGTAAAACTATATGGCCCCAACAACTTTGTTGCGGGGCCATAAATATGCAATCCTTAATGACCTGACAACAGTATCGTAACTATATCCTTTCCGAATAAGTCTGTTTAAAGGTTTGGTTAGCTTTTGAGGTGAATGACGACATTTTTGTGCTTTGTAAAGAATATTACCATAAAAGATTGGATGTGAAATACCTGAACATATAAGATGTCTGCATGTTGATTTATATTTACGAATGATGTCCTTGTACCGATGATAAAATTTAGTAAATGTTTTGACTAGTTTGTGATATTGAAAATCCTGGTGTAATAATTTTTCAGTAATACATGTTCATGTACTCAAGAAAGGAAGACATGAATTTTTCATTTTTAAACGACTGCAAATGTTTGTGTTCGTGTTATGTTATGGCAATGTCTGCGTCGTTGTCCGAAGACATTTTGGTTCACAGACAATAACTTGAGTATAGGTGTATGGATCTCTACGAAATTTAAGCACAAGGTTCCATACCACAATATTGGTTTAGGGGGTTATTGTCGAAGCTGTTTTGGAATTGGGGGCAAAAAAGGGGCAACAGTTCATAGACAATATCTTGGTTCACAGACAATAACTTAAATATAAGTGTATGGACCTCAATGAAATTTAAGCACAGGGTTCCTTACCGCAATAGGAAGGTTGGGACTGATTTTGAGGGTTATTGTCGTAGCTGTTTAGTAGTTAGGGGCCAAACAGGAGCCCAAAACTTTTTTTTCTGGTTCAGAGACAAAACTTGAGTATAAGTGTATGGGTCTCTATGAAATTTTAGCACAAGGTTCCATGCCTCAAAAGGAAGTTTGGAATTGATTTTGGGGGGTTATGGGTTTTAGGAAAAAGGGTCCAAAAAGAATACTTTTCCAATACTTTGTATAAATTGCTTATTTCTTGAACAATTACAAAGGGGTTCAATTCAAAGTAATTCTTGGGGTTCTTTAATATACTGAATATAACCGTGTTTTTAGATTTTTGGCAGGTTTCTAAATTGGTCCACACTATGTACCATGATGCACATTGAGGTTCGAAGGGTCCAAAATTAAACTTTATTTGATTTCATAAAAAATTTAATTCTTGGGGTTCTTTGATATGCCGAATCTAACAGTGTATTTAGATATTTGATTTTGGGCCAGGTTTTCAAATTGGCCCACATTAAGGCCTTAAAGATAAAAACAACAGAAATGTAAAATAAACAATCTCTGCACAAAAATTTCAAACAAATCCAAGCAATATTATTGGAAAATTTGTGCTAATCAAATCCTAATCTTGGCACTATTATCCCAATTATGTAAAAAGGAATTCCCATTAAAGTTACCTTATGAAATTCAGGAAAATCTGAAAGTAAAAGGTCTACACAATAGTGTAGAAGAATTCAAACTTATAAAAATTTGTTAATGAACAGACAAAGTGAAAATTACGGGGTTTTTGCATCTTTGCACTTATCATTTATTATTTTAATAAAATTGAGAATGGAAATGGGGAATGTGTCAAAGAGACAACAACCCGACCATAGAACAGACAACAGCAGAAGGTCACCAACAGGTCTTCAATGCAGCGAGAAATTCCCGCACCCGGAGGCGTCCTTCAGCTGGCCCCTAAACAAATATATATACTAGTTCAGTGATAATGAACGCCATACTAAACTCCAAATTGTACACAAGAAACTAAAATTAAAAATAATACAAGACTAACAAAGGCTAGAGGCTCCTGACTTGGGACAGGCGCAAAAATGCGGCGGGGTTAAACATGTTTATGAGATCTCAACCCTCCCCCTATACCTCTAGCCAATGTAGAAAAGTAAACGCATAACAATACGCACATTAAAATTCAGTTCAAGAGAAGTCCGAGTCTGATGTCAGAAGATGTAACCAAAGAAAATAAACAAAATGACAATAATACATAAATAACAACAGACTACTAGCAGTTAACTGACATGCCAGCTCCAGACTTCAATTAAACTGATTGAAAGATTATGTCTTCATCATATGAATATCAGGCACAATCCTTCCCGTTAGGGGTTAAGTATCATACCATCATAACATATGTGAGAAGAATATAACCCGTGTCATGCCAACAACTGGTTTTTAAATAAATGTGTTTAGTGCCGATGCAAAGACCCTATAAGTGAATCAATATTAACGCCAAAATATGCTATCTTTAATGACCTGACAACAGTATCGTAACTATATCCCTTCTTAATAAGTCTATTTAAAGGTTTTGTTAGCTTCAGAGGTGAATACTGACATTTTTGTGCTTTATAAAGAATATTTCCATAAAAAATTGGATGTGAAATACCTGAACGTATAAGAAGTCTGCATGTTGAGCTATATTTACGAATGATGTCCTTATACCGATGATAAAATTTAGTAAATGTTTTGCCTAGTTTGTGATATCGAAAACCCTGGTGTAATAATTTTTCAGTAATACCCTAAATTTCTCTCGTTAAAATCTACAACATTGTTACATACACGAGCAAATTGTACAAGTTGAGATATATAAACACCGTAAGATGGTGACAAGGGAACGTCACCATCTAAAAATGGATAATTAACGATAGGAAATGAAAAATCATCTCTTTTATCATATATTTTTGTATTAAGCTTTCCGTTAATGATATAGATATCAAGATCGAGGAAAGGGCAGTGGTCATTGTTAGTATTAGCTTTATTTAAAGTAAGTTCAACAGGATAAATTTCTTTAGTATACATACTGAAGTCGTCATTATTGAGAGCCAAAACATCATCTAAATATCTTAAAGTATTATTAAATTTGTGTATCAGATGTTGTTTTGATGGGTCTTTGCTGATTTTTGTCATAAATTGTAACTCATAGCAATACAAAAAAAGGTCCGCAATAAGTGGTGCACAGTTAGTCCCCATTGGAATTACGATAACCTGACGATATACAGAATCTCCAAAGCAAACAAAAATGTTATCTAGTAAAAATTCAAGGGCATATATAGTATCAAAGCATGTCCAATTGACATAGTTTTTTTGTTTATTGCTACTAAAAAATGACCTAAAAGAGTTTGAACATATATATTCACATTCCGACTTTTTAAATGCCCATTCCATTAGGTGTGTGAATTTTTTCTTAATAATGTAGTTCGTTCTTAATAATGTAGTTCCTTCTTAATAATGTAGTTTTGCATTAATAATGTAGTTCGTACCTGAACTTTCAGTAAAGGCAATCAACACTTCTGTGACATTACTTCTTTTCATTGCTGTATTTTCAGCAAACATTCTCAGTTCATAGGCTTCCTTTTCCTGTAAGTTTTTTACTTCATATGTTCTTCGTCTCTTTTTTTGGCTTATATTTTCCTCACCAGCTGATACATTTGCCCACTGCAATGTTCCTTGGACTCTGTACTGTATATAAAATATTTGTTTATATCCACCACCCGATTTCGGATCCCATTGCACTGTTATACTTGTAGCTGATGATGCTTTCTTGCTAAAATTACCTGGAGTTTCTGGTACACCTGAAAATATATAAACTTGAAATACATATGTATTCAAGAAGATTTTGATAGATTAATTTATGCTGTAGTATGGGCAATATGATCATCCTGTGAAGTTTCATGGCTCTGGGTTGAAAACAGTAGAAGCTGATTTCCCAAAAAAGGTACCCGCATCCCCTTGTCATACCCTCAGTTCCAGCCCAGCCCAGCCCAGCCCCCCCCCTTTAAAATAACTTTAAACCCTGACTGTATGTAAATGTTTACTGCTAAAAAAAAGAATCATTTGTCCATAAAATTCCATGAAAGTTTGACATATTATTGATGCCTGAAAAATTTATTGTTTACTGCAAAGTAAATTCGCTCTTTATCAGTAAAATACTGAAAATTTAAATAACAATAAATGGGGAATGTGTCCATGGGACACAGATGATGCCCCCGCTTGCATATAACGTTATAAAGGGACATAACTCAAGAACTGTAAAAGTGCAGCTACCCAAATTTGTACTTGATCTGAGTTTTGTGGTAATAAGCATTGTTTATAAGTTTCATAACATTTATTTAAGGCAAACTTAAGTTAGAGAACGGAAATGAAAAATTCAGCAATTTTTCCATTTGTAAAGGGACATAACTCTAGAATGGTTAAAGTGACGCCAACAAAATTCGAACTTGATCTGTGTTTTGTGGTAATTAGCATTGTGCATAAGTTTCATAACATTTGGTTGAGGCAAACTCAAGTTAGAGAACAGAAACGAAAATTTCAGCAATTATTCCATTTGCAAATGATTTGTAAAGGGCATAACTCTAGAACAGTAAAAGTTACACCACCAAAATTCAAACTTGATCTGTGTTTTGTGGTAATTAGCATTGTGTATAAGTTTCATAACATTTGGTTGAGGCAAACTAAAGTTAGAGAACGGAAGCGAAAAATTGAGCAATTTTTCCATTTGTAAAAGGGCATAACTCTAGAAAGGTAAAAGTGACGCCACCAAAACTCAAACTTGACCTGTGTTTTGTGGTAATAAGCATTGTGTATAATTTTCATAACATTTGGTTGAGGCAAACTAAAGTTAGAGAACGGAAACCAATTTTTGGACATATGTACGTACAGATGGACAAGGGTAAATCTTAATGCCCCCTCCGCTACGGCGGGGGGCATAAAAAATACCAAGGGGCAATCAACAATGAAAAGTCCAAATAAAACAGACAACACAATAATTGAAACATAGAACATCAACAGTATGAACTTGAAGTCATTTTCTGAACTGACATATAAATACAGATATTGTGTTTGTACAATTTGCCATTTCAAAATTTGGAATATTATTTTAAATTAAGAAATACATGTTCCTCATTCAAAGCTCGAATTCCATGCCCTGCTTTGGCTATACTTTTTGTCCTGTTTTGTTTATAATTAAGCTCTTCATTTTTTTATAAGAAGTTTTGTATTTTCAAATATTTTGGCCTCGAGCATCATTGAAGGAACATTTATTGTCGAAATGTGCATCTTGTGCAGAAAATTGGTACAGTTATCGATGTTATTTCAATACTATTTCACAAAGGAATTACAAGATATATTTTCATTTTAAAAAGTTAACTCTTTGAGCTCGCAAAATTCTGAGGAAATAATCATGAAGATTTTACAACATTATTGAAGTTTGGAAAACTTTAACCTTAGAATGTTTAGTTTTCATGGTAAAGTATGTTTCTCAGATATTATAAGCAATAGTTCAACTATATTTGGTGTATAGAATGATTGCAAGGTGTACATGTCTGTCTGGCAGGGTTGGTCTGACCTTGGCCTCATTTACATGGATCATTGATAGTGTTGTTTAAGTGATACTTGTAGTAAAACCTTTATATTACAGACTTTCAACATAAACTCAATCATGAATATGTAAAGCAGGCGAGCCATTTCTGCTTGTGCACTCTTATTATATCATACAAAAAAAAACTTCTTTCCTAGTTATCAGAGACATATAATGCATATGAACATATGCATAAATATGACAGGTTAACATTGTAAACATTCAATTTCAACTGAACAAGATTTATCTATCGAATATTTGTTAAATCAAATTTTAAAGATTATTTTTTTTTGTCTGATAGTATATGAGTAAACTAGGAATCAATAATCCAAGCCTTAAAATGGGCAGAGATAAGTTATAAAAGGGCCAATTTCCCTTGTCACTTTTTCACTCACAGAGTCGAAATCTTATAATGATGCCAATTTCTGATGTCATTGTTTAACTCAGAGAGTCAAAATCTTATAATAATGCCAATTTCTGCTGTCATTGTTTCACTTACAGAGTCAAATCTTATAATAATGCCAATTTCCACTGTTATTGTTACACTCAGACCTCAGAGTAAAAGTCTTATAATAATGCCAATTTCTGCAGTCATTGTTTCACTTACAGAGTCAAAATCTTATAATAATGCCAATTTCCACTGTTATTGTTACATTAACAGAGTCAGTCTTATAATAATGCCAATTTTTCTGCTGTCATTATTTCACTCACAAAGTCAAAATATCAATATAATGCCAATTATCGCTGTCATTGTTTCACTCACAGAGTCAAACTCTTATAATAATGCCAATTTCCACTGTTATTGTTACACTCAGACCACAGAGTCAAAATCGGTAAAAAAAAAAAGCCAATTTGCGCTGTCATTGTTTCACTCACAAAGTCTAAATCTTATAATGATGCCAATTTCAGCTGTCATAGTTTCATAATCACAGAGTCAAAATCTTAAATTTGCCAAATCATACTGGAATTTCATATCTCTACCATCAATTTTACACATTAATTTCAGGAAATCAAAATTTAATTCAACAAAATGTTGTTGAAGGCATTTTGATACAAAATTCCAAATTTTACATGTTTTTGTAAAACTTCCCTACTGAAAATGAGTATGGGATTCCACTGGATTTCCAGTGAAATTACACTGGTATTCAGTGGAAAAAAATATTCCGATGGAATCCCATTAGAATTTCATCCAAAACATCTGGAATATTTTTCACACTGTAATTCCAATGGAAAATCAGTGAAATTTCCAATGAAACTTCCAAAGATTTTCCAATTAATTTCCAGTGGAATATTATTGTTTATATTTCAGTGGAGTTTTGATTTAATGCAAATATTCCAGTGGAATTTTGGACTTAGAAATTTAAAGGAATATATACTTCTAATTTAAATTTTTCAAATAATTAAGTGCATGATTATTATATAAAGGATTTAATTTGTAACATATAATTTGCTGGCCTGATAAGAAATTAAATATTATAATCATGATAATATATGGGATGTAATGAATATTTCATAAACCTACATATATACATGTATATGAAACATTTGTTCAAAAAATGTTGCATGGTTAAATGTGATATGAAATCACTGGAAGCAAGTTAACTCGTACCATTGCAAACTCGTACCACGTCAACTCGTACCACTAAAAGTCAACTCGTACCAACGTAAACTCGTACCACTTTAAAGTCATACCATTCACAACTCGTACCACTGCAAACTCGTTCCATTAAAAATACATTCTAGTGTTCCAAAGGAATGTCAGCAGACGTTTTCTAATTTTTTAGATCAAATGTAATGTCCCATCTCAAGGGACGTACATTAACCATGTTGACAGCTGATTGCTTTATTTACATTGTCTTGCATGGTTGAACAAGGTTACATCCAATGAACGATCATGACCCAGTTTTTGTCAAATTGAAAAATAAATATTGTTTGCTAACTTTTTTTTAAATACAAATACTTGACTGTACCTTAAATCAGGAATGCATATATATCCTAACCAAATTATTAAAAGCAGTAAAATAGCAGTGCCAGGAAAAGAGTACCGTTACACTCGGTATATATAATTCTTTATTTACACACCATTTGAATGCATTTAAATAAGTTGGTACGAGTATACAATGGTATGAATTTACCGTGGTACGAGTTTGTTTTCAGTGGTACGTGTTGACATTAGTACGAGTTTGCAATAGTACGAGATAACTATAATTCAAATCACTTGCCTAGTAACAAATGAAAATAATCATTTATTAGGATAGGAAAGGATACATTTTAACTATTAAGAAATAAAATTAAATGTGCAATAATCAGATAATATAAATAAAGAAATGAATATTTTATATCAAATTGGGTTGAGAATAAGATTCTGTTTGATTTAACGAACAAAAACAATTAAGATTCTTTTTGAAAAATGTGCATGGCTCTTAAAAGGGCCGTTTTAAACAGATCTGTTGCAGAAATTATCTTCAGACTGTACGAATTGTTAGGATAACTCCGTTTTTTTCTTCAAGTGACCGTACTGGCAAACTGCCCTGCACTACAGTCTACATGTATACAATAATATAATTATTTCTCCTTTGACTTCATCATGTTCATTAACTGTTACTGGTCTACTGTTCTTTTGAGAAAAGTAAAGTGAACGGCTTTCATTTTCCACATTGTTCTATAAACTGTTTCGGTATCTTAACTTTGTCGGTGTGATGAATTTTTCATCATTTTCATGTCCTGAACTCGGCACTGGAACTCGGGTCATATAAGTTAATCTATAGAAACATTTTACATATAATCCGCTCCAATCAATTGTACGCTAAATGTCAGTGTTTTGGCATAATTTGAGCAGAAAATTCGTGAAACTGTAGTCTATAATGTTGTTTTTCAACACACATGTTTACATTCATGGAGGCTGCCATTTTTTTCTACCAGACTATATATATAACCGCTGATTTGATTGGATAACTCTATTTCCGGGATTTCCGATCGGCCAATCAGATAGTCGTTATCATTAATACACGGAATGTGTTCAAATTTGAAACTAAAAATATTGTACGAGTATGTATCCTGTCCAGCATTGTCCAGCTGTGGTTACATTAATCATGTTGATAATAATTAATACTCAACAACCTTCGATAAATAAAGAAATAGACGTTAAAGACAGAACATTTAGGTATGACATTAGCTGTTGAACCAAGAATTTACGATGAGACGATGTGCTGATGT